AAATTTAAAAAACCTTATTTCATCTACTGACAACACCAGCATTACTCTCGAAAGTCACTAGCACCGCCATGTCAGTATTCGATACTAATTTGTCAGTCTTTTAAATAGGTTTCTATAAAGTATTATAATTATAAACCATTCCTAGTCTTAAGCTTAATAATGAAGTCATCACAATATCCGTCTATTTCCTGTAGGATTTTCTTTTGTTTTCTCTTTTATTAAAAACCCTGTACTGAATAGAACCCTTAGCAAATTAGTATATACGGAATGACAGGGGATAATCGACCTGAATATTATCGGAAATAGGAATCAAATTTAATTGCCATGCAATACATTAAAAAAGGAATTTACAAATTCTTATCTTATATATGGCATACATTATATAATGCTTGCCATCACAGTGAAAGATTGGCGTAAGTTATTCGCCGATTGTTGTCCAGAGTGCGTCAGATTTACAGGAAAAGAATGGTATGTCGTGCGGGGAGGCTCCTTTAGTGCACCCCACAAAAACATGTCAAATGAGTCTATATTATATTAGTATGATTCAGCTATAGAGAACTATGGAATACATAGCCCTCCATGTTACTCTGCCACAGCCTGTAATGGTTAAGAACGCATTAATTATGTATGTTGGTATTTAAAATTATATATTTTATTTTTATTTCAATTCTTAACAAAACTGATGAAAATATCTAATAGGAGATTAAGTAATTAGCGAATGTTATTTTTACCAATCATCTAAAAATACCCTTGACAAATATAACGAAGAAAGAAACTAAGGTGTGGACAAACGAAAGCTTGAAATAAAAAATAACAACTTGAAGTACTATCGGAAACTACGATTTTGTACCTTATTCCACTTTTGAATAGGTCATAAAGTCCACTCATTCATAGTCTAAATACGAGAATAGAGAATGTAACCAATAAAATAGATTTTTTTTTCTTCGTGAACACTCGTTTCGGGTTTAAATTACGTGATTTTCGAAAAATACCTACGAACTTTTATATTTTATTGTACACTTCAATATTTCAATATTAACTAGAAAACATAGCAAGAAATCATTCAAATGTGAAGGTTGCAGTTGGTTGACGTAAACCTGTATCGCGATTGGACGTACATATATTACAATTATAAAGGATTTGGAAGGAAGGAAGGAGAAAACGTATTTACATAGGGAGATATACATGAGTGTAATTCTTTGAAAACGAGTGAGTGTCTTTGTGTACCGTCGCATTTAAGGTTTTTTTTTGTTAAAGTATACCATGGTAAAAAAATATTGAATCCGATAGTTTGGACACAAAAGCCATTTTTTACCTGTATTTTCGTTTGGCTTTAGATAACAGGTGATTATACCCCGTCACGAAAGAAAAAATGAATTAAAAACAAAATGATATCATTGAAAAAGGCTGAGGACACAATTTTTAAGATATACAATGTCTTCTAAAACAGGGTAATTTCATTTACTGTTGTGTATTTTTGAATAGACGTTGTTGCAAGGATTTTTACTCTTGACTATACTGATGTAATACGTGTTTTGGGGAGACTATGCTGTAAGCGATTATTATATTCAGCGGATACCTACGGAATTTAGTAGCATAAAAACGCAGCTTTGTGCCGTAAGGCAAAGGAGGAAACTGGAGTGCCACCATTGAAAATTTTGCTAGTGAATTCTTTCCAGGGGCAATTCCATTCCATTATTGCATAGCGCTATTGTTATACGAACGACCACACGACGAACTATAACTACCAGAGGCGGCTCGTTGAAGGTTTCAGTGGGTTCACTAACCTAAACATATTTTAAATAAAAAGTGAAACTCACATTATATAGTGTTCCATTTTAAGAGGGAGCGGAGGAAAAATTCTAATCTTCGATTTGATTTTAGAGAGGTATATCCACTTTAAAGTTAAAAATAAAATATTGTATGAGTAACTACACGATATATTCAAGCATAGACATTAATCAGAAACAGAAAACAATAAACTTTCCTCGATAGAGAAAAATCACGAAATGACCTCTAATTTTCACATTTTTTCGATTTATCCTCGAAATGCTACAGGTTATTAGGACAAAAATTAGGTAATTAATTATATTTATGCATGATCGACAACTGTCACTACGGATTTTTGTTTAATCCCTTTAGTTTAGAGTTATTCCGCTAAAACGAATTTGGTACTTTTAATGCGCAAAATTCAACATCTCTCGCATGTCACGCGAACTTCAGGCATATATTTGTTTCACAAATTTGGGCGGAGCCAACGTCAAAACTTCTTTGGAGTGCTCCCTCTTAAACAATGCCACTAAATAATATTACACTTTTTAATAACGATTCTTCTTAATAATAATTAATTTTTATTACACAATAAAATGCGCGCGAGGAAAATACGGTTTGTTTATTTGACTAATAAAACTGGCAACAGCGCCGTAGCGAAGTGCAGTTGTCGTATCGGGCATGCACGGCACGGCAACGTTACGCGTAGCGCTGCTCAAATCTTGCTAATTTTCTCATACGTTTCTTCTGTTTCACGTGTCGCGCCGTAAATAAATTTCTCTTTCGCACTCATTGAATTCAGTACTGGGGCCTTACCATGAACTCTTATTACAGTTCAGTATAGGTTCGTAACGACAAAATAGCGGGATGGTGATATACACTTCATGTGGCGCTATCTCACAACGATTCATTTTAGGTCCTATACTGAATCGTGATAAGTGTTCATGGTAAGGCCCCTGAACTTTTTAAACAACTGCGGGTCAGAGAGGCGCATCGCGAAGCGCTTCACTCAAGGGTCAGTAAGCTATACTATATTAAAGAGAAAGATAAAAATCTAATTGCATGTTGTATGTACTGCGGCTACTAATATAATATGAAAGCTTAATTAATAATTTTATTTTAATGGGTTGGATAGAAATGGGAGTTCACTGCACCAGCGCTCCTTAGGGCGAGCCGCCTCTGATAACTACTATTATATAACTATAACACTACCAGTATAAACAGGTCTTGTCAAATCTAATTTTGCTATGCCTATTATAGGAGCTTTGTGTCAACTTATATTGGAAATGTTGAGTAAATTTTATCGTAAGTCGTTGCCTTGCGGAACTGACGCTGAATATAATATTGCTCTGTTCATTATGTTATTTGCAATTGCATCGACTGCTAAGTAGTCGATTAACTCGAATGTATTGCGGACCAGGTCCACATATAGCGTATCAGATTTAGGGCGCGTATCACATGACTGCGTATCATTTCGTGTCACAATTGATACGCGTCCGTGACCTATTACCGAGATATACGCCAAAAAATCAGGTGGGATAAAACGCCTTATTGGTATTATTGGTCTAGATGTCCATGATATTATAAATTCAGTATTTTCTCCTCAACTAAACATTCTCGTAACCGACAATTTGTTGACAAAAATATTGCAATTCAATTCTAGTACCGATGTAATGAAACATCGTTTCAAACTCTACCATACGTTTTATTAAGACGTTGACAACATCCAGGTATACTTTTTTATTTCGGCGCGCTGTTTCGGCATTAGCTTGCAATACGTATCGGAGATCAGATACGTCTTAGTGGACAGTGTATGCTCTATAGAATAAAATGTGTTGTTATAACAACCCACACACCCATCACACGAATCATCTCGGTCACACGCATCATCTCTGTCACATGCATCATCTCGGTCACATGCATCATATCCGTTTCGCGTTCTTGCATCTCAGATTGTGGGCCAGGTTGTTGTCAACGTCTATGCATAATGTAAAAAAACAATTATTGCCTTTCTAATTGCTCTTTATAATTCTAGAATTTATTTATTTCTTGCGTATGAAGCTATTGTATTCAAATACATAAACACAGTTTTATTATATCTATCAATAGAATTCATGAACAATTTTTTGTTTGTAATTTTTTTTCTAGCGAAATTATAATTAACATTAGTAAATAGTGAAATAAATGTTTTATAGTAACACAATATTTATTTGTACATGAAATAAATGTATGTTTATCACATTAATAAAAAAATAGGTGAAGAATATAAGTAGAAACCGAATGATCTGTTTGTGATTATGAATGTAATGTATAGAGTTTTAGATAAGTGTTAATTTGGATTAATTTGTGTAACGATTCAAGTGTGATTACAATATAATTTTTAAACATACTAAATGTCAAAGACAAGTTACTTTTGAACTTTCATATATAATATTACATACTGACAACGTGGTCATTGTCAGAACGACTAAAATGGTCTATTTTAAGGTCCAAAAGTGATTTGTTTCTTTAAAAAATTTAATATCTTACGGGCTCATTAACTCATGATGACTAACCAAATATGAGCCAACATTACCAAGTGACCAGAGCATCTAGGTTGCATAGTAATGGCTGTCAAATTATTGAAAATCACCATGCAGTATTCTTTATTTGAATTTAATTCGGAAGTTTTACAGAGTTCCAGATTTGAATGAGGAATTTGACATTTCATGCTTAACGTTAACTTAATTTCAATATGGCGCATCCGCACTCGTACGTAATAAGTGTGAACTTGTCAGTGTTCAAATATGGTGATTTTGTTTTGTCTATGGTTAAAAAAAAGAAGTGAAGATTATATTACACTTCGTTAATCTTCTTGTATTCTTTTGTTTCCACCAACATGTAAGATATTAAATAGAATCAAACTTAGCAGTGAATAATAATCTTACAACTATAATAGTAAAAATGTGTCTGACTGGGCAGATACATTTGTACATAGGAATTGTGCCCAACAATATAGCCAGCAGTGTACAACCCACCGAACTTCCTTTTAAATTGGAGTGCCAATTGTTCCCTTAATGTTTCCAGTAAGTGTACTGCCCTTGTTGTTGGTTACTGTAAATCGTTGTATTGTAATCGCATTATAGTATGTAATTAAATATTATTGATGATATACCTATCTAGTTTGTGCTGCGTTTGTCTGGATTTTCACAAAACTAACGGAAAGTTCAAAATCTGTAAAACTGCGGAAGATGCCGAAAATTCACGAGTCCGATTGTCATCGTTATTTGAAAGTTTTGGTGCTTCAGTGGCGCCGTGAAAACTCGGCAGGAATACCTATGGACCTCGCTTTCCTGTCGCCCATGCCTGCTCAGGTCCGTTGCCACAGCAACCACAACAATAAAACTGATTTTACATAATCAATTTTACTTATTTTAAATATTAATCTGAAATATTATTATGCATAAAAACGTGTCAAATAATTACACTGCAAAGGTCGGTATGCTTCGTCTATTGTAACGAATTGTTACGGTCAACTTATTTTTGGGATTCTGTAATTTCTTATTGACATTCTTAATATATATATATATATTCGTGAGTATACTAAATCTATGTTCGTGAGGATTGTCAGATGTGAGGCAGACGGTGATCGGCATCACATTTTACCATTTCAGGCACATAAGCATACGTCAAGTGTTCAGTCCATTATATTTTATAGGCAATAAGCCTCGTCTTCGGTGGGTCTTCATATCCGAAGGGAGTCAAGAAAAATTCACTAAGACTTGGAAGTATAGTTTTAAACTATTGCCTTTTTCATAAGGGAATGAATTTAATAAAAAAAAAATTAAAGAAATCCAGTGGTGTTTTGATTATTCGCCATCTGTAGTAGAGTTTAAATGATCACCGTAAACAACGATTTCTCACGGAAAAATCTTAAAAATGAAATTGAAAGTTATCTGTAGTATACGTACGAGAATTGACCCACAATATTTAATGATAAAATTACATTACAACTTGACCACTAGTGCCTGTACCATGGGTTTTCACTATTAAAAATCATTAACTATTGCGTCGGATTAGATAATAATTTTATATACAATTTATATTACAATGAAATAAAAATTATTTATAAAATTATTATTATTAAAGTGTAAAATTGATTATAAAATAAAAAGTAATTTTTAAATTATATATGGATAAATTTTACAACGCCTAGTTAAAAGTATAAAGTAAGTTTTAAGAAGTACTCAGACATGTCATCTCGAGATCGTTTAAAAACCAGGCATGACTTGGAAAGAAAAACGTGACAAAAAATTTACATGATGATTTTGTAATTCTATTGTCAACAACTAAACATAAGTATCTATCAATTTGCATTTCAAAACGAAATATGAAATCTAAATATGTAGTAATTATAAAGTAAGTAACATTGTTTAGTATTCTATTTCAATATAATACATAGCTAAACGTTGCACAAATCCTTCGTTTGTTTATAACATCACGTTCTTATCAAAGTGTTGCGCGAAAATAGACTATTGGTTTTAGCTTGACTATACTCTAATTATTTGTAATGAAAATGTGCCGAATTAGCAAATTGAAAGTTCTCATTAAAAAAATGGCACCTTTACTAAACTTTATAAGATTAGGGTTTTCGAAAGTAAAACTTGTTGATGATTTTTTATGTCTGGCAATCGTGAGAAAACTAAAAAGTACTGAGGATATTTCTCGCTGAAAAATCTGATACCTATCACAAGCGCAGCGCAAACTATGCTATGTGTACGTAATATCTTCCATTAGACTCGTAGTCGCTGTGAGCTACCATGCATATTACAATAAATATATAAATTAATATGGATTTAACTATGACATTTCATTTCTGGCAACCCTTCACCTGTGTACCAGTTACATATATTTTATATTGTACAAAAAAATTGTTACAAACAAAAAATATTAAAAGTTATGTGCTCAATTATTTACAACCATTTGTTTCCAAAGTTTATTAATCTATACTGTACACGATAGGCTAGGATTACCATGGTTCTAGTTTTTTTTCCTTATTTATTTGTTATTTTGAATAAAGAAAGTAAAACATAATATGCCTGACAAGTGGGACCAAGCAGAGTAAACCACGGTAAAAGTAACTGTATACACATGGCATCCATAAAAAAAATATTACTTCATCGACAAAGGCGTCCCGTATGCAAAGTGGTAAAAAAAGGAAATAGTTTGCCAAAAAAATCTAGATCACAAAATTAAAACTATCCAAAAATCCTTACCGCACAAAAACTTCGAACGGACCGCGTCCCGGCCGTTTAGCAATTTTCTCATCGATTTCCCAGAGCGCATGTGCGTTTTCCCGCCATTTCGCCAGTCGAGCGAGGTCGTTCCCGCGCTACAGTCGCGCGCAAAGGACTCTACGTGTTCAGCCACAATAAAAAAAAACTGAAATAAAAATTGTCACATTGGCCCAAAGATTTGATGAATTTACTTTAAAATAAAAAAGTGTTTTTGAAATTGATGGTTGTCAAACCGACTGCTACGAATGTAAGGTGAGTTTTTCTATCTACTTGTTATTATAAATCGATATAATTATGTATTTAGGTCCCGATCGTGACGGTAAACATTTTTACTCTGTGACATTTTGGAATCTATGAAATTTTGGGAATTTGTATTTCATGCTAAAACATTTAAAATAGACTTATAGTGTTATATTTTTAGTTAAGTTTCTTTGTGTTACTAATATTTATTTTTAAATTCTTATTTGTTTTGAATATAATAAAAAATATGTCGAATTATTTCCATTGAAACCGGCAGGATAGGATATATTGACACGTAGAATTTTAAAAAGGTGTTTCAAATCTTAAGTATCCTTTAAATATTCGTTCATCCAAATTGAAAGAACAAAAATTTGAAAGGGCGTTTTTCTTCTCTTGCTCTGATGAGTAACCACAAACAACTGACATGTTTAACATTAACCCTTGTCTATTTTTCAGCCTCAATTATTCCATGAGTTTCAGGTTTTTGGGTTAGGCAGTTTCCTTATGACTTGGTTTGATAAAAAATTATCTAAAAACATATTTTTTTACTTTTTTGACGAAAATGTTAAAAAGAGACGTTGCGTACAGTATTGTTAGTCAAGATCAATTTTCACTAGGTACTAATTTTTAGCTGTAATTACTTCATGATTGTCTTAGTCGATTGTTTCTTTTTTTTTTTAAGAAATACTCTACATCTGTACTAAAAACATACAGTTTATTGAAAAAATAATATGTCATCATCTGCTACCTTTGCTGCCATTTCGTCTTATGTGAAATATAAAATGGAATCCGAAAAACGCTATCAATTGCAATAATCAATCTCAGAGCTGGTGTGTATGTATTGTAATATTTTTCCTATTTAATATATGTACTAATTATTTATTTATATGCCATAGCTCCTGGCCTGATCCTTTTTTTCTCTGTATTGCCAAATTAAATTTTTATGTTATAAGTTTTAAAAGACTAAAGTCAAAAACATTGTAAGTGGCTGAACCGTGAAATACCAAGAACAAAAGTAAAAAAGGTTGCAAGCAAGAATTAAATAAAATATTATTTAATGAGTAGACCCTATAAAAACGAAACTGGTCTTTCAACAAACAATTTTGCAGAATCTTCTCATGTAATTCTTAGTTTTACTGCTAGTCAGGTAGGCAGAGACTACGAATATATTACGATGTTGACAAGGTCATAAACGGTGCCCGTTAAATCAAAGTTTCTTATAGTCTGCAATTTTTGCTTGGCGCCCAATAACTGTGACCTATCAAAATATAAATGTTATTGATAGCAGTTAGAGCTCGTTGTGAGAGTTCGTCTAGGGAAGTACTGGATGACAGGCGCAGAGGCAGTGCTTCTTAGGTCTTTGCGATAAAAAAACTCTGAGTGGCATAGCAACTGTCGTCGGGTGGGCTTGTCATTTGCATTCAGGCGCACAATGTACTTGTCCCCTCACTTGATATTATAAAAAAACTATTTATTTACGTTAATACTACCTATTGGCGAGTGGACTGTATAAGTATGTGCACTATGATGGAAACACCTTATGTGCAGCTTTAAATGCGTGTAATTTGAAATATTGATTTCAAAACCGAACTAGGCAGCGCAGTGAACGCAATTGCCCAATATTTTGGTAAACAAAAACAGTCGAAAAATATTTTATAAATCGTATGTAAATTGTAAAAAAAAGTACGAAAACGAAGGACGCTGCGTCACAGCTGGTCGCCAATACTACCGGTTATCTCAAGTGGTGGTCTGGTGGCGATGGTGGTAGCGAATGTGGGTGATCTCGATCGTATATTAAAATTAATTGTGGTTAACCACAATACGGTCTTAGTAACCGTATATATCATGTAACTTGATGCGAGAGTTAGAAACCGAACGTAGAATAATCCATTATCTTGGCATACACCTCTGCTTAAATTATAAATGGAGTTTAGTAGCAGAAGAGTTTCTTGTCAAAGAGTTCGTCCAGGGAAGTACTGCCACCTTACCTATTTCTACCGCCAAGCAGTAATATGAGAATTACTGCGTTCGAATTTGGAAGGGTACCCCTGTGCTAGTGGCCCTAAGATCTGATTTAAAGCTCTGTTTGGCACTGCAACTGTTATGGATAGCCGTTTCGTTTCGACATGTCCGTCCCGTGACGTGGTATTGTAAAAAAAAAGATTTGGTATAGTAATTCCGTTTAACAGTCAGGTAGGCGATAGCAGTAAATCTGCTATCAAGGAAACAAGAAGACGACCTCTGTTTGTCTCCTGAATATAAATCTAAATCATCGCGAGGTGCGCAATGTTAGACGATTTGTTTAATAAAAAGTGGCAGGTAATTATCAACCGTAGACATGTATTTTACTATTTTTACTCAATATCGAGATGTTTTCACTACTATGATGTTCAATTATTTTTTGTGAAAATACTCCATAATATTACTACAAAAATTGAACAAACACAAAAATTCCTTCGATCTTACTGGACACGTACCAGTGACTTCGCCAAACCGGGGCTTCAGTTCTCTTAACAGAGCTACAGTCAGCGGACCTTCGAACATCTCTATATGTTTGTTGCTTAACTTTGGCTACGGCTATTTTGCCACGTGTGAGAAATCTGTGCAACTTTTTCTTCACTCAGATCATAGACATTTTGCCAGACAAAAGAAAATCTCTTTTCGCACAGGTGTCGCGTTACGTGTAGGTTCAGATTCGTCCAAGAGGTCCATTACGTACTACAAACCGAAACGGGTTTCTCAGTATATGTGTTTTGATTAAAGAGACTTGGAGATGTCAAAATAACGATTTTTTTTACCTTTTAAGACCCAGCAAACTACAATGGGAAAAATCCTGA